AATATCTTGTCTCTTTAAGGAGATTGTGAGTCACCTGAGAGCCAGCCTGTCTCTGCTATCTTTGTCCCCCAGAGATCCAGCTCAGTGCCTTCCATTGGAATATTAAGCAGGCAAGAGATGTTTTCTGGAGGTGTCCAAGTAGATGAAAATGTACCCCCATCAGGATGTGACTTTTTATACCCCTCCAGTGTCATGCCAAGCGCGAACTTGCATGTTCTCTTACTCAGTCCTCATAACCTTCAAGACAGATACTCTGAGCCACCACTCACAGATAAAGCCATGGAGGCCTAGAGAGGCTGTCTTGCTTCCAGGAGCACCTAGAAATGATGAGCCCAGGCTTTAGGTGCAGTCCAACTGATGCTCTAAGCTCCTACTCTACCCAAATGTACTGCTCCTATTTCAGTACACTTGGTAAGTCAGCGTGAACTTGAGTTTTACAGACTGGTACATAAGTCTTGAGCTCTGCTGCTTAGTTCTTATGGTTTCTTCCTAAGTCATGGTCTCCCTGAGCTTGGGGCTGTGCCCACTCCATCTTTTTAACCCCTATCTTGCATAGCTCTTAGCCTCATAGAATGGAGAATAAAGGGGAGCAGGAACTTGCTCAGGGTAGCTCTGGAAGGGCTCCCTGGGGGAGGCCAAGTTTTCCTGAATAGTGAGAGGCAAGCAGAATAGAAGGTGTGAACAAGGGCTCAAGGGCAGTGGGATGAAGTCATCCGTGGGTTTTTAAGGGCTTCTGATAGAAGAGGAGCTAGAAATATGGTTGGAGGCACCCTAAATCCAAGCTCCCACAGGGGCACAGCCAGAGTACTCCATGCTCTCCACAGGAGTCCCTGGAGGGATGAAGCCCTCCTTCCACCAGGAAAGGTACCTGAGCATCTCTAGGTGAGACATCACAGGAAGCCACTGGAAATGGGAGCCCAATGGCAAAGCAGCATTGGTAGGTGACAATTAGTCAATGAATGAAGCATTGCTTGAGCATGCATTGTGGTCTGGGGTTGATTCTAGGAAGTGCCTATGTGCCTGTGTGAGGTGGAGTGGTGAATGGTTCAGGACAGAGAGTTCCTAAAACTGACCCTGGAATATCAAGGCATCCCTACTAAGTTATAGAATGTTAAACACTGAAATTCTTTACCTGAAGACTTTTCAGGTAAAGATTTACACAAAATCTTCACCTATCATGTAAAGGTAAATAAACCATAATGTGGTTATTACTGATTGAATTATTAGGATGCAAAAGTCTAACTGCTAAGCACTTCGCAGATATCCCTTGTAATCCTCATAGCAACTCAGTAGAGTAGACACTTAGCTTATCCCATTTCACAGATAGAAAAACTGAGGCTTAGAGAAATTAAATAACTCGCCCCAAGTGATACAGCCTGGAGTTGACCCAGGTCTGTATGACTCCAAACCCATGTTCCCAATTGCTACTGACACCTGTCTCCCTGTTAGGTGGTTGGAAGATTTATTTACTAGCTCCAGGGGGAAAAGTGGGGCAGGGGTGCCCTGAGAAGTGGGCTCAGGCTCTGACCTCTGTGGGCAGCAGGTTGTGCCCCCTGTTGGTGGTAGCAGGGAAGGACAGTGGGGTAGGAGCTGACGTTTGGCTGTTTAGTGGGAGACAGAGACACAGCAGACTCTGGGTAGCAGAGAGAGGGTTCCATTCATTGTGTGTCTCTTTTCCTGGGGTTCAGGGATGTCCTCGTGCCTTCTGCCCAGGCAACCTGGCACCGATCTGAAGTGATTCACACCAGTAATCCAAATGACATCACGAAACACCAGCCACATTCTTATTCAAAGGTAGACTTCACACCTAAATTCTCTGTCACTCCTGCACAGAACATACTGACACCCTCTTGGTTGCAGTGCAAGGAGGGCCTGGAACTTTGCCTCATTGGGATGTCAGGCTGGTCACCGAAGGGGAAAGGCATTCTAACTGGATTGGTTTTGTTCCGGGGTCCAGGCCCAGCATGGGAGACTCATTTCCTGGGGACCTCCATAGCTCTCCAGGGCCCCAGCTTGTGGGGAATCAATCAGACAAGGATGAGGTAAGACAGGACAGGAAGTGCTCCAAAGCTGAGGAACACAGGGGTGGGGGTGGGGGTGAGGATTTTGAGGGTGAGGGCAAAGTTGGAGAGGGCATGATGCAGGTTTTTCAAAACATCGGGATACCTTGGGCATTTGGCACACCTCTGCTCAGAGCCTCTGGAGCAGGAACCTGAGTACGTTGTCCTGAGAATAAATGAAGCAGCAGAACTGGAAAATGCAATCTCTGAAAGTCTCATCTGTCTGCCTCTCCATCTGCCATGTCTGTCCTCCAGTCTACGAGGCTCTCTCCTAGGGAGGGTGCAGGGCAAGTGGGTGAATGGTGCAGGTGGGGACTCACAATGCTGTGTTCTATTTCCAGCTCCTCTCACTGACTCATAGTGTGACCTTGCTGAGGTCATGGCTATGTGTTTCTTGCTGTGGAAAAAAAAAATCAGAGGTGGCAAAGCTTGCATTTTCCCAAGGGACAGGACTCCTAGCATCTGGGGGGCCCTCCTGTTCCCAATGGACCCCAGCTATGACTGGTTGTGTTGGTATTAATAAAAAAATTTAGATTTGGATCTAAGGGGCTTTCAGGACACCCAAAGGAAAAAGCCAGTATCTCCTGCTGTGGGAAGACTTATGGGCACTTTAGCATGCAATGGCTCTCCCAAGTGTTTCAAATCATGTGTCCCATACAAATGATTCCTCCATGGCCCCAACCTCGTCTGTGCAAGGAGAGAAGGGAAGTGTTTTCTCCCTTCTTTCCAGAGAAGGGAATCAAAGCTAGAGGTGGTATTTCTCAGCAGTTTCATTACCAGGAGCCTCTTTTATGATTTTGCTACTGTTGTGGTTTGTGTTTAGCTGTCTCCCCAAAGCCTCATGTGGATGAAGTGGGACTTTATTTTTTGGAGGTAGTTTATTCTGGAATATGTGATGCTGGGGTTAAGGGAGTTTGGTACCACCCTAAGCCCAGTAGTCTAAGATAAAAGGGGCAGAAAGATGCTGGTAACTCTTGTGACTTTTGCTGCCTTGTGCGTGCCATGTTGTTTCTGCTCTGCCATGCCTGTTTGCTATTCCAGGCTTAGAGCCTACTGATTATGGACTGAAACCTCTATGAACTGTGAGCCAAATAAACCTTTTTCCTCTTAACTTTGGGTGTCTGGTATTTTGTCTTAGCAAGGAGAGAAAACTAACTAACACAGCTACCAAGTATTCTCCTGTTTTGCAAGCCCTTGTTGGTTAAATTCTCTGCATGTATTAGGTAGAAATACATTGTTTTCATTGATCATCGGTCACCAATGAGCATCAGTTTCTGCTCTGTACAAAAGAACTAACACTACCACTGAGCTCACTGCCAAGAATTGCAGTGTTTACCTAGTGTTACCCTAGAAGGGTAATCACCTCCTAGGAAAAGATCCAATTTCCTCCAGACCTTTTTTGGAAATTTGAAGAGTTTTTCTTCAAAAGATCCAGGCTAGGAAGTCATCAGAAAGACCAAGTGGCCTGTGAAAGATTCTGTGGCTAGTGATGGGGCCAGGTCCAGAGCCTGGGACCTGACTCATGGGCCAGCACTCCAGCCAACCACACTATTTGGCAGGAGGGCTGTGTGCACACTCACACCCACAGGCATACTGACACATGTGCAAGACAGGAGCCCAAGTGAAGCAGGGGTCAGGATGCTCAGGCTCACACCAGGAAAGAGAGCCCCTCAGTATTGGGGTGAGTAGCCAGAACCAAGCCTGGGGGTTGGAGAGGGGCCCAACCAATTCTTCAAAGATCCTTCTGCAGAGCGGTGGCAGGTGGGACAGGGGTTTATTCTGCAACCTGCCTATGCTTCAACAACACATCCTTTTTAAAATTAAAAAAAAAATTACAAGTACATGTTTGTAGTACATCCAATTACATTCAGTGTGGGGAGTTGGTACATGTACACAACACACCTTAATTCTTTGTTCATGTTCCCTTCCTCCCTTCTTCTCCCTCCATCTCTTGGGCCCCTTCCTTTTTGCAAAAGATCCATCTCCCTGTTTCCTGTTATCTATCTTTTGATGCAGCTTTGACGGATCTGGTTTCTTTCAGACCAGCTTCACCCTAGCACTGCCTCTTTCAGAGGGTGAGACCAGAATGGGGAGATGAGCCTCTGAAGCTGGGGACACCAGAGGCAAACTGAGAACCTTGAAAAAGTGAAGACTGGGATTCCAGAGGCCTGGCTTGGTGGCCAGGGAATAAGGAGGGAAAGAGCTGCATTCCTCCAGGCTCCCATCCCCCTGCTCAACAGGGCTCCTGCAAATGCTCTCCTCTAGAGCCTTTGGCTCTGTCCCAGAGGTTCAGTGTTTTATCCCTGGCCTAAACAAAAGGCATCAACTGCCTGTACTTTTGGAAAAAGGCTGGGGGCTTAGCACTTGGCTTCAGAATCCCCACTCCACCAATCCCCAGCAGGCCAGGGCAGGGTCTCTGGGGGCCTGTTGCCCTGACAGCTGTTCCCGGGGTTATTTTGGTCTAGGGGAGCTTGTCAATTCCAGGGTGTTTGGACCAAAATAGCCAATGGGCAGGATGATCAGTTGTGACTCTGTGGGGACCTCCCCAAGGAAAAGCTGCTAAAATTGGGCAGGGCAGAGAAAAAGGGGCTTGGTGGGGGGTGGTGAGGAGGGAATTCTCTTGGCATTGTCTAAGCCTGGCCGATCTTTTACCAGGCCACCAAAGCTGGGGGTCCCTGGGAGAGAGAAGGAAATTTCTGAACACTTTCTAGGCTCCCTGGTCCTCTGGAACAGCCAGAGCAAGAGAGAAACTTATTAGCCTTTTCCATGTCACAGATGGGGCTTACTGGGTTCAGAGAGGCGGAGACGCTGGTCTCAGGACACACAGCTGGGAGCCTGAGCCACAGTGACCTGAAGCCGATGTGTCCGATGGATGCCGGGTCCATCATAAAGTTGGAGCCAGCATGGAAAGTGCTGAGTGGCCCTGGCTGTCCTTCGGGCCACAGCAGGGGCCTTGGCAGCCTCCTCCTCTCTTCGTGGGTCAAGTGCAGGGAAGAGGAGGGAAGAGGAAAAAGGACAGCCCTGCCCCAGCTCAGATCTGCAGCGCCCCTCCCCCAGCCCCATAGCCTGCGGGGATTGCTCCTGGCTAAAAGCAAGACTGACCCCTCCCGCTTCCTTTGGAAACAAAGATTGTGAGCGGGAGAGCCCTTTGGCACGGGCAGACACCGGGCCACGGGGCGCATGCCCCGGACACGTCCTGCGGGCACCGCTCTCTGGCTGGGCCACTGAACTTAGTCGAGAGCGCCGCTGGCCAAGTCCGCGAGACAGGTCTTACTTCCCGGGCCGCAGTGGCGACAGCCTCCAGGCCTCCCTGCAGCTCCCGCCGCTCCCCGGGATTGTCCAGCCTGTTAATTTCCTGCTCTGGTAAATCCTCTCGCGAGCGTCTCTCCCCCTCCCTCCAGTCTCTGCCCCCTGCCGCCCCACACCGGGGTCTGGCCTCGCCGCTCTGCTTCGCGCCCGGGCGCACTCCCTCCCCGCCCCTGCCGCCCTCCTGCTCCCCGCACCCTGCCTCCGGGGCCCCTCTGCGCCGCCGCCAGCCTCACCCAGTCCCGGTCGCCGAGCCGCCCCGGGGCCCTGCCATGCTTCCCCGCGCTGTCCCCCGCCGCCCCAAAGCGGTGCTCGCGCTCTGCAGCCTCCTGATGCTGCTCGGGCCCGGGCTTGGCTGCCCCGCTGGCTGCGCCTGCACCGACCCGCACACCGTGGACTGCCGCGACCGCGGGCTGCCCAGCGTGCCCGACCCCTTCCCGCTGGACGTGCGCAAGCTACTGGTGGCCGGCAACCACATCCAGCAGATCCCCGAGGACTTCTTCATCTTCTATGGCGACCTGGTGTACCTAGACTTCAGGAACAACTCTCTGCGCTCACTGGAGGAGGGCACGTTCAGCGGCTCTGCCAAGCTCGCCTTCCTGGACCTCAGCTATAACAACCTTACGCAGCTGGGCGCCGGGGCCTTTCGCTCCGCCGGGAGGCTGGTCAAGCTGAGCTTGGCCAACAACAACCTGGCGGGCGTGCACGAGGCCGCCTTCGAGACACTGGAGTCGCTGCAGGTTCTGGAGCTCAATGACAACAACCTGCGCAGCCTCAGCGTGGCCATCCTGGACGCGCTGCCCGCCCTGCGCACCCTGCGCCTGGACGGGAACCCCTGGCTGTGCGACTGTGACTTCGCCCACCTCTTCTCCTGGATCCAGGAGAACCCGTCCAAACTGCCCAAAGGTGAGTGGGGCTCGGGAGGGAGGAGAGAAAGCCCTCCCACAGCCACAAGTTAAGGTTGAGCCCTGAAGAGGAGGCTTGGGGGTCCCACCAGCTGCTGCCCAGTGAGAGCCGCACAAGGGGAACTCCAGAGGTTTCTAGCCTCTGGGATCTCTGCGGGGAAATGGTGTGGAGGGACGTAGCCCAAAGCTCTGGAGTTTCTTCGCGTTAAAGCAGTGCTTCCTTCCTTGTACCTCTATCAACTCACCTTCCCAAGTGCACCCCATTCCCTGGTCAAGATCACCTCACCCCGTTTTGTGTCCTAATATTGGGGGATGTGGGGCATCCAATAACTGTGGGTCCTTCCTAAGTAGCAGGCATCTTGCCGTGCGGGAAGCACAGTGCCACTCCCCTACCTGGGTACCCGGAGGATGGAGAGGAGCCAGTCAATTCTATGGTGCTGGTCTCTCTGTTGCTGGCCAGCTCAGGCTTGCTCTTCTCATGAAAGGGGTGAGGGTATTACTGGTGAGGGGTCCGGCTGCAAGCCAGGCATGCCATCATGATTTCTGGCACTGTGGCTTTTCAGCCCAGATGTGAAAAAGCCAAACAAATGTTGCAGGCAGGTGCCTTCCCTGCTTGCCTGGAGCCCCTTCCAGTGCCCACCAGGACACACCTATCCATTTGAAGATGGAGCCTGAGGGGACAGAAAGTTAAGTGGCCCAGGGAAGGCCAGCAGGACAGAAGCCAAGTCACAGCTGAGAAGCAAGGGACCCCAGCATCCACCAGGGCAGGGTTGGGGCAGGTGGATGTCCTTGGACTGGGTGGACTTCCGTCTGTGGGCATCAGTGCCCATCGAGATCTCTCAGAGCCAGACCCAGCCTCCCACCTTCCCCTCAAGATTTGGTAGATTTGGAACCACACTTTGTAAAAGGTGACATAGATACAGACTGTGGTTTAGAATCTTTTTTATTCCATTTACTGAGAACTCAAAGAAGCTGATCCTTTGCAGAATTTCTGGGCTCATTTTTTCGTTGCTACTGTCACAGGCTCGCACCAGTGCATCAGGGCGGCCACTTCTCAGCAGATGCAGACTTCTGTGCTGGTACTTTGGATGCCTGTGAGCCAGCCATTCCTAAGAAGATCCCAACACTGCCCCCTCCCTCTAGCCCTCCCCAGGTCACAGGGGCCTCTCCCTCCTTCCATCTCTCAATTCTCTACCTGTTCTGGTGGCTTCCCTATGAGATAATGAGTCATAAACATTTAGAGATGGTGGTCACCAAGGGGAGAATGATGATCTTACTTTAAGTAGAAAGGGTTCCAGACCTGGAAGCCACTTGGGTGACCAGCCAGGACAGAGAGGGAGAGAACAGGGAGATGCTGGAGGAGCCTAGGAAGTAAGACGCAGCAGGGATGACTCTCTTGTCACAGATGCTGTGATCTTTAAAGCCTTCCCAGTGATCACATTTCCTTTCCTTTACAGCAGCCGAGGAAACAAGCAGGAATTAGACACAAAAATGAGCTGGGAGTGCTTCTCACTTGAGAGCCACTTGGGTGAGAGGTGCAGGGAGTTTGACTGAAATGCAGAATCCTGGGCCCCCAGGCCTCTTGAATGGGCATCAGCAAGGGGGAGGAGACCTGGGGATCTGGGTTGTAAGGATCCCCCTCCAGGAGTCTCCTGTGCTGTGTGTGGGAAGGGCTTTGTACTGAGTCTTTGGCCCCCTAACTCACTAGCTGTGTGACCCTTCTGTAGGTTGCGTCCTGTCTCTAGGCCTCAGGTTTTTCTTTTGCAAGCAAAAGAGTAGAAGTAGAAGGATTTATCTGATGTTCTGGGTTCTAAGTCACATATTCTGTGGTTTTAAGAAAAGGAAATATTATCCTGGTTTAAAAATTGGGAAGTTGAGGCATGGGGAGGCAGGGGCCTTTCAAAGACTCCTCTGCTGGAATTCAGGGGGCTGTGGTCTCTGTGCAGTGGAGAGAGGGCCAGACACTTAGATAGTCTGGGACCCTGAGCTCACAGGCTGAGATGCTGTCAGAGCACCAAGGGCTTTCCACCTCCTTTTCCCCACCATGGTCCTGGAGCCACTGGGGAAAAAGGCCACTGGGCTTGGGAAGCTGGGCCTGGTGGGCACAGGGCTGTCTCTGTGCTTGACTCTGGAAGTTGTGAAGCAGGTGACACAGCTCTCACCAGTTCTGAGAATGTATCATGGGCAGGTCTCAGGGGAAAGCTGAACTGGCAGGGCACCCTCTTGGACCTCTCTTTCTAGCCAGGGCCACATGTGTCCCACAGGTGGTCACAGTGTACACTGCCAAGGAGGAAATGTGAGCTTTTAAAAGGCATGCTGAGGGTCTTGTGCCCTGTCACCATGACACATGGAGGTGTGGGGTAGGGCTGGGAGGAGGTGGATGGAGAAAGAACAACACAGGGCCACATGTCACGGCTTGGCTGTGCTAGCCCTGGACTCCGGTGGGGACAGTCTCCTAGAGAAGATCCTTGAGATCTGCCTGGAGCATCCTGCCATTCAGGGAGTGGGGGCCTTGCTGGTCACTCTGTGTGGTCAGGGTCCTTCTGGGAGGGGCACCATGGCAGGCAGGGCACTCATGGAATTGGACCCCTCTTCTTACCTGGCTTGATCAGGGCTCACTGGGGAACTCATTCCCATATTCTGGCACTGCACTTCTCTGAGCCTGGCCTGGCAGCTCAGTGGGGATTTCTTGTCACATTTCTTGTCACATTGACTAAAAGACAGTTCTTCAGCCCAGTGGACAAAAGTGACACTTGCTTAAAGGGATACTTTCTCTTAGGAGACTCCAAGGTAGTGATTTTTTTCTATTAAAAAAAGCAATTTAAATTTTTAAATTTTTCTGATTATAAAAATAATAGGAGCCTTTAATTAGACTGGGGAAACATAAATAAGTATCGTGAAGAAAATAAAAATAAAAATTTAAACCTCAGAATCCCATTACTATTTGAGTTTGGCTATATTTTATTCTGGCTTTATTATGCCCATATATATTTTATAGACATTGATATTATGCTGTTACATTTTATATAGATCTTTTTCTCTTACTGAGTTGTGAGAGTTTCCTGTCATTACAGCTCTTTGAAAATTCAAATTTAACAGCCCTGAGAGTAGGTCACTTTATAGATACATGAATTGGAACTATCTCCTGTTGTCAGAAATGTGTGCTATGACCAAGCATGGGGGCTCACTCTGTAATTCCAGTGCCCACCCTCTGGGAGGTTGGGTCAGGAGGATGGCAAGTTTGAGCCTAGCCTGGGCAAAATAGTAAGATCCTGTCTCAAAAAGTAAAAGGGACCGGGGATGTATCTCAAGGTGAAGGCCTTGGTTTTAACCCCCAATACCAAAAAAAAGAAAAAGAAAGAAAGAAAGGAAAAGGAAAAGGGTGTGTTGTTTCTATTTGTTTTTTTGCATATAAACAGTGCTCATCTGAACAAGCTCATGCATGTAAATAACCTCTGTCTCTTTCTTTGGGGTGGAAATGCATGGTGAAGATCTGTGCCTTTTTAAATCCCTGGCTACACTTTTGCCTAGAAAGATGGCACAATTAGCAAAGAGTTCACGTCTCAGCATGCCTTTTAAAAGATGTTAACTGACATCTCTTACTGTTCTCTTTGCATTCTGGGCTCGCTGGTAGAGCGAATGTTCTGCATGCGTGTTTCCCTCCTCCCTGAGAGAATCAGCTCTGGGGCCAAGGTTGGCTGAGGTCTCAGTTGCTCCTGCCAGGGGCTGCATCTCATCTTTGACATGTCCATACATGCCATGCATGTCACAGGCTACTGCTTCTTCAGATTGTCCTAGAGTTAACTTGCTAAGGTGTCACCTTTCTCACCATTGCTGGGTGTCAGCTTTTGCAGCACAAGGGCTGTAGTTCCAGTGAGGAGCCACCCGGGACACGTCTGCAGGCAGCGTGGATGAACTGTGCTGCTCTGGTCCCAGACACGTGCCATTCTGACAATGCTGTATTCATCATGTCACTCTGTCAGTTAGTGGACTGAAAGCCCCAAGGACACAGCTGGGATTCTGCTTTGGACAGGATAGTGTGACTGTTGGCTGCCATTGACTAGTTTGCCAGATGACTCAGATCCCCCAGGAAAGGCAGCTCTGAGAGCCCAGCACGCACCACTATAGGCCTGCCCTGCAACTGTGTGGCTCTCGGTAGGACTTTAGGGATGACTGAGCAGGTGAACACACCTTCCTGAGATCCTCGGGGGCTGCCACGATGCTGGCCTTGCTTTTGTTCCCCTGTCCCCATAATCCTCCCTGAGCATATCCAGGCTGCTCTTCAGCAAGGCCAGGGCTGGGAATGTGGTTCCTGGCTCTCCTGCCCGATCTGTGTGGGTCTGCTCAAATCCTGTGGCCTCCCTGGCCTTGAGTCTGCCCTAGGAAGGAGAGATCAGGCTGGTCAGATGCAGGCAGCTGGAGTACTGTGGTTCTGGGCTGCACACAGGACACCAAGGCAATGAACCTGTGAAACCGCTGAGTGGGACACCTTTGTCTGTCAGTTCACAGAGCCAGAAGCAGCCTCATTGGTTGAGCAGACAGCAGGGCTCTTTGTAATGATGTAGAGTGTAGCCAGGAACCCTGGGTCTTGCAGAGGAGCCCTGGGAACTGTGGCATTGGGAACTGGGGTCATAGGAGCACAGCACCCCTTTGCCTTGCTTTCTTTCTGCTTCTCACATGATAGGAGGAAGTGTGATCAAAAGGAGTGTTTAAGAAAAATTCATTGTAATAAAAAACACATTGCCCTTAATCCCCCTTAAAAAAACTCCTTGCTTCAAATACTGTACACTTATCCCATCATTCTTGCCATTTTCTTTCTTTCTTCTTTCCTTCTTTCCTTCTTTCTTTCTTTCTTTCTTTCTTTCTTTCTTTCTTTCCTCTTCTCCTTCTCCTTCTCCTTCTCCTTCTCCTCCTTCTCCTGCTTCTTCTTCTCCTCCTCCTTCTTCTTCTCCTCCTCCTCCTCCTCTTCCTCCCCCTCCCCCTCCTTCTCCTCCTCCTTCT